CACTTGGTAGCCCAGGCTGGCCTTGAACTCACAGAGATCCGCCTGGCTCTGCCTCCCAAGTGCTGGGATTAAAGGCGTGCGCCACCACCGCCCGGCTGAGAACAGGTATTTTTAAAGTCGCACATTGTCAACTCTGTCTTCTAAAATAATTTCAAGCTATCTACTGGGTGGTATTTGATAAATAGCTTTATTGGCTTTGATCCAGTGCTCCATTTTTTTAAATACTTCAAACAAAGAGTAGAAGCATGTGTATCAGTTTAAGTCATGAAACACGATTGGTTTGAGCTGCAAACAGGCATCGAGTTCGTGCAGTCCATGGAAACACTGAAGCTGTTGATCCTATGAATAGTTAATGATCCGCCTGTGGGTACAGTAAGTCCCATGCAACCTGCATTGTCGTAGACCTTTCCAGCCTGGAATAGAAGAGTTCCCGTCAGTGCTATGGGCTTCCTTGCCTTGCCTTCGTCCTTGTCATCTCCTGTCAGACCTTAGCCCTCTGGGAAGCAGCAGCCATCACCTCCCCAAGCCAGAGCTCTTATGTACATTCATGAACATGTCTTTCTCCTGCCGTTTTCATGTGGTGTCTGCCCTTGCTCTGGCCCCTTTTTAAGGAGTTGTTTCACTTCCATTATGTCCTGGCCCCTGGCTGCCTGTGCTTGCCTTCCACCCAGCTGCCCCCAGTTGCCCCCATCCTCAACTGCCCTGAGGTGCTGGGCAGCTGGATTCGCTGTGATGCTCTCTGAGTTCCAGCTGGCCTGTGTTCAGACAGAGGTGGGGAATGCCTCTCTCCCCTTGTCCCCCGGATTACTAAGGCGTCTCAGTTCACAGGGCCCTTAGGAAAAGGGGTGTCTATTTTCTGCCTGTGCCGTCCATTCTTGCTCCTGTACAGTTCAGACCCAGGTCTCCAAGGTGTCTGGACAGACCTGTCTCCTTCCCTGTGCTTCCCTCCCACTCTGCTCTTCTCTGTTCTTGTTGCTTTCAAGAAACAGCTGAGATGTGGATGCCACCACACCAGAGTTGACTGATGGGTGAATCGGGCTCTTAGAAACAGCAGTGTGTGTGCCCATGAGGGTGGAGGGAGCGAGGAAAGACAAGACCCTATTACCTAGCTACACTAGGAATTTAAAGGACTCAAGAAATGGCTTGATTTGGGGAGAGCGGCAAGTTTGCGTTTCATACCCGGAGAGTGCTCTTGAAGTGACCACTTCGAATGGATCAAGGGCATTGAATGTTTCTCTCCTTGACTCAAGCTCCTTGCAGCAGATGGACTGTTAGAACAAACAAGTTTCTTCATCCGGATCAACGGGAGATGTGGGGACCGGTCCATGATTATAAGCCCCTAGACATACCCTGTGGGCTGTGCTTCTCATCTCTTTCAGGGGATCCTTAATCACAGCTTGTTTCCCTCTGTGCTGCCTCTTTCCCAGGAGCTGAAATGGGAAGTCAGAAACATTCTGGCTTACCCAAAGCTTGTGGTTGCTCAGATGGGGGCTTAGGCTACTGTGAAATTGTCTCTGGCCTCAGGTCCTTCAACCCACTTGGTCCATCCTTGTTGAACTGACTGGTGCGGTGTTTGCCTTCAGAATGGGCAGCCACTCAGCCCACCCATTCTGCCCACAGAGCTCGGTGGTGCGCTCAGGTGTGTCTGAAACAGATGATGGGATCTTCTCTTCTCCGGGTTCACGTTAACACGAAGATGCTTTCAATCACCAGCCGGCCTGCGCGGCGGGGTCCAGGGCTCCCCAGTGAACTGTTGGGCATCATTTTCCCTCCTGTCCCAGAGAACAGAAGAAGCCGTGGAGGGGTTGGCCACCTTCACTCAGTGCCTGTCCTGGGCCAGAGTTTTAGGAATCCAAAGACAAAACTATTGAAGCAGTCCTTGCTCTGGTAGCACGCATGTGGAGGAGGTAGATTAGAAATATTCACGATGCGAGATTAATAATGCTTCCACGTACACGCAGTGGAAGGAGAGGAGGGCTGCTGTGCCTTGGAGAAAGGAGCTGGGAAGCCTCCCCAGAGAATGTGGTGCTTCCACGACAAGGAGCTGTCAGGCAGAGAAGGGGGAAGAAGTCTCACTCCGGATGGGGTCAGCGGTGGGTTGAAAGGCGTAGGGTAAAGAGGGACATGAGATGGTCTTGGAGAGGGCGAGAAATGTGCTGAAGAGAACAGTTCTGTCAGAAGGAAGAAGCCCTTGGCAGACTTCTAAGCAAGGGAGCGAATAACCAGTGTGCCAGTGTGCCAGGTGTCCTGACTGGGGGGAGGTGAGTCTGCCCACTCATGACTGGGTCTAATTGTATTTTACGGCGTCGTTCGTGATAGGGTTTTAGGGCATTGCAGAGGCATTGAATGCTGGCTCTTTGTCATTCCAGGTATCTGATCCCCTGCAATCACATGATGCTGAGTCAAAGGTGGGCCGTGAAGGAAGGAGACTGCTACTCCGTGTCCGCGGCCAAGCTGCTTGCCTTGACGCCCGTCTGCTGTACCAGTGGCATCACCCTGACCCTTGGGACCCAGGAAAGGGATTACATCCTCTGGTCAAAGTGCATGCATGCTGGTTCAGGTGGGGGCATGCTAGTGTGGTCTTTAACCCCGATGCCGACTCCCTCTCTCGGCCTGGGTAGACAAGATGACCGCAGGGTGGAGGAGGGGCTGGAGCTTTTTCTGCTGCAGGAGGAGTTGTGTAGAGCCTGCAGCTAGTGTTCTCCAAAGCACCTGCCTTCACCTAGTCATTTTCACAGAGTTTTGTTTTATATGTCCCTTTCAGTGGTGTCTTCCGAGTCCAACTGTGAAGATGTGCATTAACACGACTTCTAAAACAAAATGAGTTACAGGTGTTCGGTCTATAACCAAGACAGGCCTGCTTTTTAATTTCCAAAACTCAAAATTCAGATTAAAAATGACTTTCCAAAACTTGTCAGCTACTTTCTCTGTGCAATCACATTTAAGGATGTGAAGAAAGTAGCGCATTTGCAGATGAGGAAACAGACTTGGGCGGGGCGGTGGTGGCGCACGCCTTTAATCCCAGCACTCGGGAGGCAGAGACAGGTGGATCTCTGTGAGTTTGAGGCCAGCCTGGTCTACCGAGTGAGCTCCAGGAAAGGCACAAAAGCTACGCAGAGAAACCCTGTCTCGAAAAACCAAAAAAAAAAAAAAAAAAAAGAAGAAAGAAAGAAAGAAACAGACTTGGGGGGGGGGATTGACTTGGTCATGGTTATGTCACGGGTAACTTCTCTGATTCCCATACTCCATGTTTGTTCCATATTCTGCATCTGGAGTTACCACAGATGTGTGTCCTGCCGGGGACACATCACTAGCTGGCAGGATTCCTGTGCAGTGGTGAACAGCTAGGATTCTGATCTTGGCTTTCTCACCTTTTAGAGAAAATTTCTTAATCATTAAAAAAACCTTTCCCCTTTCTGTGAATTAGTACCTTCCCCAAAGGACTGCTACAAAGGATAGGTGAGTTCAGGCACAAGAGCTCTTAGGAGGCTTGCCCGGCACGTAGCCACTGCTCAGGAAATATTTCTAGGAGTAGTTTGATGTCTTTTTCTGTCAAGTGTATAAGAGAAGCAGCACTAGCCTCTGTCAGTAGAATGGTAAACAATGAGGTGGGTGTCTGTTTTACTGGGCTTTGTATATACTTCTAAAGGCTCAAGCCTGATCCATTACAAAGGGGCACAGAGCTCACAAAGATGTGGCTGGAGTGTGGAGAGGGTCCAGAGGAGGCCAGCACTCGAATCATCCATGGCCCTGCCACAGCTAGGGCCGGATGTTCTATCTGTGCGCAAGTGGGGAAAACCGAGTCTATCATATAGGATCGTTAACTCCCATGCCAGTGATAAAGCACGTACAGTACTGTAGATACTTAAGGAATGGTGGACAGCATGTTTCCCTCCAAGTCTGAGTTTTTTCTAGACATTTCATTTTCGAGGAAATTACAAATGTAAATACAGGCGTTTTCACAACTAGTTCAGTTCTGATGCTGGAACTTATAACATGAAGTCAGTCACTTTTAAACACATGACACCTTCTCAGGTTGAAATGACTGTTGTGATTGACGGTGACTTGGCTTCAGGAGACCATCTGATGTGCATCAGCATCCTGATTATTGTCCACAAGGTGCAATGTGTTAATTGCCTTTTCTAGAAACCCAGGATTTTTCTACTGGAAAACCTGGTTCTCAAACTCATGAGTCATTAGCCTTCCATTTATCAAAATACTTTAAAATTATTACATCCTGTGGCAAGCACCACATTAGGAGCACTGCCTGTCATCCCCTTGTCCTGGAGAGTGGCCCTCATCAGCTCTTGTTTCTCTGATGACTGACGTTGTCACCAAAGAAGTCAGGATCCCCTCCATTCGGGTCCCTCATCTTGTTAATAAATGACTTTAGAAATGGACTCCAAAGGAAACTCAAAGACAATTTTTTTAGAATTTGAGAGAGAAACACATGGACAGGCAACTGTAAGTCTTGGAGATGAGGAAGAGAGAGGCCATGCCCTTTCAGTTAGAGTCCCAGAAAGCAGGGAGACCCTGCAGTCAATGAGCACCAGCTACAAGCAGTGTACAGCACAGGGTGGGGTGTGGGTGGGGTCTTTAGAGGAAGAGTGAGGGCGTGTGTAGGTTTCTGGCCAGTATCTAAAAGGAAAAGGGAAAAGAAGGGAACTTAGTTTTCTGAGTAATTCAGAAAATCTGGTTGGCTCCATAGCAAAGGCTCAATAAGAGGCTGCATGAGGGAGGGGTTTCTGGGAGGGGTGAGTGCATTATCTCTTTAAGAGCATAGTTATTCTTCCCATCTTCTTAGCATATCTTCAGGTGAACCAGCTTTCCTGTGGGGTGGACTCAAGGCCAGGTGATTGACAGGCCCAGCTAGATTAACTCTTAATGGAGGAAACAGTAGTATGTAAAGCTCTGATTTCATGTTTCCTCCTGGGGCCGGAGGCATTGAATTTTTTTTGAACAGGAGGCCTGAGGAGTGAACAAGCGGGCACTTACCTTTCTGGTGTTGCCAGGAGATGGGAGGTGGACTCCAAAGCTGACCTTGAAGGAGGGGACCATCCTCATGGGCTTCTCCGGCTGTCTAGTCACCTCACAGCATTACCCAACAGTTTCTGTAGCCCGCACCTGGCCATTTGGGTTTTATCTCTTCTTGAGGGTGGAGTGTCTGTCACTGCCTTTCCCTCTTAATTCAGCGTTTATTATCAGAAATAATGTAACTAGCCATTGCTGACCTAAACTGATAGCAAGTCCCCGACTCATCCCCACCTCTCTTCCTGATGGCTGTTTGTTCCTGCCCAGGACCCGAGGAACAGCCGCTGCCAGAAGCGCCCTGCCCATCTCCTCCACCCGCCCCTCCTTCCCCTCCTGGCCCAGCAGCCTGCATTGTGGAGTATGGGAAGACCCTGGACATCAGCTACCTGCAGTATCTGTGGGAGGCCCACGCCAACATTCTCCACTGCATGAGGGACTGCAGGGTGTGGTCAGCCCTCTATGATGGGGACTCACCTGACCCCGAGACCTTTCTGCAGAGTCTGCCAGAGGAGAGCCGAGAAAGTTCAGGCCCGCCGGAGGCTAGACTCTCTCAGCAGCACACCAGGACAGCAGGCCAGACGAAGGACAAGAACCAGTCAGAGCTGGAATGGGATGACAGCTATGACACTGGCATCTCATCTGGAGCTGATGTGAGCTCTCCTGGGCCCTACGACGACGTGGAGACTCCAGCCCCACCGGCACCCGTTGACCCCCCCAAACACATCCAAGAGATGAAGAAGAACGCCATCCTCCTCTTCAAAGGGTCCTACATAGAAGAGTCAGACTTCCAGGATGACGTGATGGTATATAGGCTGTGTGCTGAGAAGGACTCTGAGGACGCCAGGGAGCCACAGGGAGACGTGGCTGACCCACCAGCTGAGGCCCAGCCCCAGGACCAGCCTGAAGCCCAGAGTCCCCCCATGAGCAACGGACCTCTCTTTAGCCCTGATCCTGAGGCAGAGGCACGACCCAGCAGGGAGAGTTCAGACCTGTGTCAGAACACGTTCTCAGAAGCCAAGCAAGAGAGTGAGCCTGATGCAGCCTTGGAATCAAACCCGGGGTTGACAGCCCCTGCATTTGAGGTGGACGTCCAGTCAGACCTGCCCGTTGCCAACTCAGAGAGTGAAGATTTTATTGCACAGTACGACCAAATCATCCAAGAGCTGGATTCTGGCACCGAGGGCTTGATGGACCAGAGCATCCCTTCCTCTGACCCCCCGCTTCTTACAAACCAGGAAGAGAGGCGAGAAGAAGGCAGAGGAGAAGAGGAGGATGACTTCGACTCCCTCATGGCAGAAGCTCCTGCTGTGGAGACTGTGCCGTCCCCATTTGGTGTCAGAGAGGACGCGGCCTTCACCAGTCACCATCCCGTGAGGACTCAAAGCACCCCGTTCACAGGTGACAACCTTAAGCTGCTTTGTGGTTTCCACTTGTGCTGTGGTAAGAGGGGAGTGAGAACCGTGAGAGTAAGGTGTGTCCGTTTACCTGACAGGAGTGAAATACCTTTTTTTAAAAAAAAAATTTAATTTATTTATTTATTTATTTATTTGGGTTTTCCAAGACAGGGTTTCTCTGTGTAGCTTTGCGTCTTTCCTGGAACTCACTCTATAGACCAGGCTGACCTTGAACTCACAGAGATCCGCCTGCCTCTGCCTCCCGAGTGCTGAGATTAAAGGCCTGAGCCACCACCGCCCGGGCAGGAGTGAAATATCTTCGCAGGGAGCGAAGGGGCAGTCTTGGTTTCCATCTACTGTGATGGACGTGTTTGGTTGGCAAGTCAAGCTTTACGTTGTCTTCTGTCTTATCTTCTCCCCATGTTCCTGATAAAGTCATAGGTCTGACTGGACCACACAAGAATCGAGTCGCTTTCTTAAAGCTGCATTTCCTTGAATCTAATTTATTTTTCTCCTTAGCACTTATTCATATGTGTATTGTTAAAACAAATATATTTTGCTGTTAGAGGGTGTGCTCCATGATGGTGACACGTTTGTTCTATGCTCTGTCCCCAGAGGCCAAGAAGTGGCATCATGCTTGAAACACTTGCAGGATGACAGTTGGGTGAGAAGAAGGCCACTGCCATTAGTTGGGCTTTTGCCCTAAAGGAAAGACTTAACACCTCAAAAAGACTAGATCCACATATACGAACCACTTTCCCAAATGTATGTGTTCCAGTGAGGACACTGCCAGCAACAGGGGCAATCTGTGTAAGGCACAGAGGGCTAAGACGGGGTCTAAAATGAGCGCGTCAGCCGAGGAAGTATGATAGAAACCATCAGGAACTGTTAAGCAGCAAAGTCTGAATCTACACACACAGAGGGAATTCCCACACCCAAGCACTCAGTGTGCCCAGGGAAGGCTGGATGACGTTTGATAGCAAACAGAAGTACTGGAAGAAGCTCTTGACACAGAGGGACAGACAATGGCCTTGGAGTCACCCTCAGGGTGTATTCTGGCTCTTAACACTTACCAGGCATGGGGCTTTGGTATGCTCATGCCGCCACAGCCCCTGTGAGGACAGACTGAGGTAGAAAGGGCACTGCTATTGTTCTCACTAGTGACCCTCTCAGAATCAGTTGAGAATTGTTCTTCCTGGGGAGCAGCTTGACGAGGAAGAACATCGTCCCCACCTTCCAGGATCCCCATAGACAGATGAAAAAAAAAAAAAAAAAAGATTGCCTTCTAGCCCAGTCACAGAGATCTGCTATGATTTCAAGGGGGCTCCCCACCCTTCTCCCCCAATATTTATTCATTTATTTACTGATGCCTGAAGATGTATTTAAACAGGGAGAAAGCTTTTAATTCCACAATTATCAGGCTTGAGCTTCTAGCTGAGATAGCATTTCAGTGTGAACAAGTTTTAATTAAAATTGAGCCAGTTAGTCAATCATAAGTTAAAAGGATTAGATCATCTTAGGTTTCCAGTTAATGGGGACAGAGTTGGGGAGCCAAGTGAGGGAAGAGGTCCCACGTCAGGTGCCTGTCCTTTTGACACACCCAACAGGAAGAAGTTCCAACCATGTCCTGCAGCCTTATTGTGGGACATCAGGTCTAAGTCCTGGCTAAAGAAGGCTGCCATTTTAGGGTGCCAGCTTTCTGACAAAGTAGTTCCATCCCTGGGAAGTATGTAAACTGGGGGAAGAAGTACAGCTTAGGGGAAAGCATAGAAAACAACACCATATCACTAACATCCGTGGTGTGTGTGTCTTCACCCGTGAGCTGGTAAAATGTGGGTTCCTTGGTGCACATGGCTCACTGTACTGAAGATCTTGCCTTTCTCCTTCCCCTTCCTCTTTTTGGAACTTGTACACGGTGTCAGAAAACATCTTTCCATGTGTGAGTTCTGTTGTTTCCAAACTTCCAAGTATGGGCTGAGGTGGTAGCTCACCTTCCCTTTCTCCACACCATCACCAGGGGTCAACAGCAGAAATTAATTCTGTTGAGGTGAATTTGCTTCGTAGAAAAATCATAGCATTCCACTTTTTAAATTTCATTTATTTATAAATATGACAATTTTTATTGATCCTATGATATTCTATGTATAGGATCTAAAGACACAAAATTAAAAGAATATACAATCATTCACAGAGACACCAACAAAGAATTTTGTTTTCAGTGCAAAATAGTTGGAAATGGGATGTGTTCCAGGCGGGAAGGGAGCCCAGTGGAGGGGGGGTGAGTGCCACACAACAGGGGCTCTGGTGGTGAGTGGGAGAGGGAGGCAGGGTTATTAAATGTCTGTTTGCCCTAGACAGGGCACTAAGAGCAGACAAGAAACCGGTCTATCCAAATTAGAGGGTTGGACAACAGAGTTTGTTGGGGCTCCGTCCATGAGCATGCATGAAGGGGTACATACAGGAGCATGGGTGACTCAAAGGAAGCTGCATCCTTGAGAAGCCCGTCCCAGCATGGGCCGTGACTCACAAGCTGCATCCCCAGAGATCCCTGCACAACGTGCAGGCAGCTATACCAGCGTCTCCTCTCCCCAGCAGTCTCTAACTGCCCGTGGAACATTGAGGAGAGGCCTCATGAGTCTTGCAGGTTCCTGAGTTTTCTGAGCCTCATAACTGTAGTTAGCTTCTAAGTCTTAGGAGCCTCCCTCCTTCCCCCGGAAGGAAATGGCTGACTTTAAGCTGGCAGTGCAAATGGAAATGAAGAGTATGGTCTCATCGGGCAAAGGTGCGAGAGGAAGCCCAGGAGTAGTTGATGTCTGCTTGTAGAGAGTCTGGGTCAAGATGAAGAAGGGGAACTTGTACTCCTGGCCAAGCATTACAGTTGGAATGTGGCATGACGGCCTCAACAGTGCTGTGGAGAGGGTGGGGGTGGGGAGAGGTGGTAGCAGGAAGAACACGTGGGAGACCTGTTACTGCATCAGAATATAGGCTGTGCCCTTGCTTGACCTGGGAATTGTGTCTAGAGCCATTTCCACAACTTCTGTGCCAGACTCATACTTCTGTGCCACACATTCACCTATCCATCCATCCGTCCGTCCGTCCGTCTGTCCGTCCGTCCGTCCGTCCGTCCGTCCGTCCATCCATCCATCCATCCATCCATCATCCATCCAATCCATCCTCCATCCAATCCATCCATTTACACATCCATCCACACATCCATCCACCCATCCATCCACCCACCCATCCATCCATCCACCCACCCACCCACCCATCCATCCATCCATCCATCCATCCATCCATCCATCCATCCATCCATCCATCCATCCACACATCCATCCATCCAAACCATCCATTTACACATCCATCCA